ATGCCTGTCAATCAGCCAGATCTCCTGACTAACGCCTGTCAATCAGCAGGACCCCCTGGCCAATCGTGGAGTTCAGCCAACTCCCCTGACCAACTCCAAGGGGGCAAGGGACCCTAGAGACACCTTTCCCTGCCCCAAGCCCTTCCCTTCCTGCTGTAAGCCCCATAAAAGTCCAGTCCAGTCGAGCTTCCACTCGGTTTCTCCTCAGACCCTTCCCCTGTCCCCTCTGTGGGTCTGATGAGTTCCACCAGGGAGTGATGTCTCAATAAAGCCTGTTAAGTGGCCCTTTTAAATCTGCCTCCTTTGGTCGCAGCCTGCCCTGCCTGATCTGACAGTTTTCTCTTATGAAGAGCTTGGCATTCTTTCAGCTAGGCTGTGACAGTCTAGATGGGCAGCAGCATTGTGTGCTGCTCTCCCTCAGAGGACAGCTGGCATTATGGTATGTAAAGTGCCACACAAAGCACTAGGGTCCATATAAAAAAGTTCATCAGAAATGATGTCATAAAGAAGCATATGCCTAACAAAAGAGGTATGAGATACAACATATGCCAACAGAAGAGGTGCGAGGACAACTCAAGGTAGAAGTCGAGAGAGAGTGAAGTGAAGAACCATCAATGCTACAGAAACAGACAAAAAGCTGGGAAAGAATAGTCTATCATTGAGGGACTCTTATTTGACACAACAAGTGTCAGGGTTGGTCTCCCAGTTCGCCATCTTATCCTACCAAGCCACGCTGCCTTCCACCATGGACTCAAGTTTCCTGCTGAACTCTCAATATCTAGACAACTGATCTTAAATTGTCATCACAGTTTCATTCTGTCTATGCTTCATCTGGGGCGCCCTGAAGACACTCTTTCTTCCTACTSCACAGGGCGACACAGGAAGCCATGCCACACACAGAAGACTCACTCCTGGTCCTGCAGATGTTGGCCTGAAATGAACACAGGCTCTAACATGACCAGGGTGAGGGTCGGGAGTTCCAGCTCTGTGCCAGCCACCTCCCACAAAGACCCCAGGGTTCAAGGCCTGAGAGTAGGTTCACCCGGAGCTCCAACCAGACCCAACCTGCAGCCACCCTCCAGCCCCTCCCCAGATCCTGGATCCTGGAAGGCATCTTGCAGTCCCAGGTCTGCCAGGGAGCTCCACTCTAAGCCAACTCCAGACAAGGGCCGTCCAACAAGACACACAAGGACGGTAACAGAAGCAGAAGGGGCAGGAATGGAAGAAACCAGTCTAAGAACATAATCATTTCAACTTAGTTCCACTGATAACGGAACTGTAAAAATCATAAAACTCCAAAATTAGTTAAAAATACAATGAAAAAGCAACAACAGAAATTAATGTGTCTTATTTACCTCAGTTATTCTCGAATTCAAGCTCCATGAAGGCAGGACTCTGCCTACTCTGCTCACTGCTTTATCTCCCACAGAAATCAACCTAACACAGCTAGCCAGATTTAGTAATAGATGCTTTTTTAGCCGCTTACTTTTTCTTCAGTTTTTCTTTCTATTTTTCCCTATATTTTACTCTTAATACTAGGTGAAACACATAATATTGTATGCTGACTTCTTACATGCAATGATATTACTGAGTTCCATTTTCCTGAATAACAAAGAGAGGTAGAAGGAGTTTCATATTAATCTAGTTCCATACTGTAATGTTCCCTTCTGACTTGGCACAGTATGTCATTTCTTAGATTTCGTCGTCATGAAATTTTTTTTATGAACTGTTCTCAAAAACACACAGTGTTTGTTCTCGATATTTGCGGTTAAGAATTAATGATATTAGGGCTAGAGTTGTGGCTCAGTGGTAGAGCACGTGCCTAGCATGTATGAGGCCCTGGGTTCTATTCTCAGCATTGCATATAAATAAATAAAGGTCCATCAACAACTAAAAGGATATTTGGGCTGGGGCTCAGTGGTAGAGCGCTCACCTAGCACATATGAGGGACTRGGTTTGATCCACAGCACCACAAAACGGTAAATAAATAAAATAAAAGTATTGTGTCCATCTACAACTAAAAAATATTTTAAAAAATAATAATTGATATTAAAAAAATTTTATGACAACTAAATCTAAGAAATGACATACTGTGCCAAGTCAGAAGGGAACATGACAGTATGGAACTAGATTAATATGAAATTCCTTCTACCTCTCTTTGTTATTCAGGAAAATGGAACTCAGTAATATCATTGCATGTAAGAAGTCAGCATACAATATKATGTGTTTCACCTAGTATTAAGAGTAAAATATAGGGAAAAATAGAAAGAAAAACTGAAGAAAAATYAAGTGGTAAAAAAAAAGCATCTACTACTAAATCACTTCTCTGAAAGTTCCCCAGCTTAGTGGATCTGAGAATAAGGGTTTTTTCTTTATCAATTTCTCACTACTAACAAATTGTTTCACATGACTATGTGGAACTATCAACATTATCAAATTTTAAATGTTAAGAAAATAACAATATAAAAGCTGGTTTTGGATTTTGTTTYTGTTTAAAGTGAAAAATAGATTTTGCATATCTTTGCTTATATTTATATTTCATCTCATCACATAGCTACTTCTATCTCCCTCAAAATACCACAACTCCTTGAAAACAATGGTCCTCTGTCCCACTGTCTGGCTGTTAAATTACAACTATACATGCCCTGATAGAATATGTTCCTATTAAAATTCCTTGAAGGACCTATTTAAGAAGTCAGTTGACTTAGTCAATTTTCTGCTTCTGCAACAAAATACCACAGAATGGGGAATTTATAAACAAGAGAGKTTTATTCAGTCCTCCATTCTGGAGGGTGAGAAATCCAGGATGGAGGGGCAGCATCTGGTGAGGGATTTCTTACTGGTTAATGTGGTAAAAGGGCAAGCAAGTGTAGACACAGAAAATATAGGATGGAAAGACAAAGTGATTAGCACCCACTATCAAGAATAGCACCTACTGTCAATCAGAAAAACAGTGCTGGTGCGGTTTTCACACACAGCTCTAAATGCTTCTTCCCTTCGATTAGATAATAACTGTAAATTACACAAGAAAAAGAAAATATGAGGAACAACTGAGTAAGAGAAAAATTTCTTTTAGAAAAATCAATGATACTATAGTGAGAGGTATGCTTAAGTATTAGGACATCAAAAATATATAGTTATCAGGATCTTAAACATTTAGGTATTAGAAATTTATATATGCATTCCAATAAATTACAAAATTATATAATTTTAATTAATTAGGGTATTCTTGAATTCTTTGAAAGTAATTGTTTTAGGTGTCATCCAAATAGTTTATGAACTTACTGATGACAAAGAGATTAAAACTCAGGTCTTCACTATTGATGGTTATCTTGAGAAAAAGTAATAAAAGATGTTTTTGTGTAGAGACCATAGTCTCCTAAAAGGGAAAGTTTCATTTTCAAGACTACCTCACTGGCTCAATCCCAGTGACTGCACAGTGGATCCGCTCGATCACACCTGCCATCTCCTGTCCGTGCCACAAGCATTAACTCAGACATCCTCATAGACTGGTGAATGATGTAACAGTTTTAAGCCTGATTTGGATGACCAAAAGACGCACCCTGACTTCTACTGGACTGCACTAACAGATTAAAAGGCCCCAAGAGTCCTATACTTCTCAAAAGCAAGACTCTGTGAGTTTAATAACCCCTCCCAAGTTTAAGTTCTACACTATCATTCCTAACTCTTAGCCACACCGTGAACCAGCCCTCACTCTCCAACTTCACTGCACACCAACTTCTACATCACTCCTATTTTCATCAAGTCCTTAAAAGAAACCTATATTACAAATATGGAGAGAGATCCTTCAAATGCCACTTAACCAGCTTGGACAGTTTACTTCCCTTTGCACCCCTCAGTTTCCTCATACGTAAATGGGGATGACCTCACAGAATATTATGAAGATGAAATGGTTTAATATTTATAAAACTCTTGGAACAATGACTAACACACTGTTTGCTATAATTACTAAATATTATCAATATACCTTCAAACTTTATAGATTTCATGACACTAGATTTGAGGAGACCATAAAAACAAGCATCCCCTTTTCAGAGCTACTCAAAACTGTTCCAAGTCCTCCTGGAGACACACTCATACAAACCTCCAGTGCAGTGTTCCATAATCCTTGGGGCACAAACTTTTACCTGCTAAAGCCCTGTTAATATGGGGAGAAAAAGGTGTGTGGCACAATGAGTCACTCAAGTAGAAGGGAGGCAACAGCCAGCACACAATAACCAATTGCCACTTTCACAATGACCAAGGAAGTCACAGGCAAAAATCATATTTTCAAGAAATTATGTTTTCTTGAGCAAATTTTGAATCTGCAGCCACTTCAAAAAGCAACTTGCTTAGATCAGTCCACTCACCATGAACAAATGCTTAACTAAAATTAGGGGGGAAAATGTTCTCTGCACCACTCACTAAAAGCACTAAAATCATCCCAAATTTTCACTATGTCACATAAACTTATAATTCAACTTTTCAATAAGTTAATATGGGAATAATCCCAAAACCACATTAGCAAATTTTCTTCAGACTCTCAATGCCTATGACGCCTTTTAAGGAGAAATTTTCATGTAAAAAATAATATGCTATAAAAAAAAAGGTACTGGCTTCTACACTGAGAGTTCTTCTACTTCAGCTCATGGTATAGATAGTTCATCCTCCCTGAAAATGAGGCCTGGTTTCCAGGCAGCTAACTGTTCTTCTTTATCGTAAGAACAGACTCCCCTTACCACTGACAGTTACTGTTAGAAACGGAACATTCTGTTACTTAACAAGAACAGTTAAGACTTACTTTTAATCTATATACTGTGCAATACAAAGTTCTGTTTCTTCCCATACTAAAATAAACAGTTGTACTCACAACCACCGATTAAGCCCAACTGCACAGCACTAGTAAAAGTACCTCAAAAAAAAAAAAAAAAAAAAAACCTAGCTAAAAATCACTAATTGTTGCACAGAAACCTAAGCACTATGACATTTTTTGCTGTTACCTTTTGAATGCTTCTGCTGGGTTCCTCTCACATTCCCCAGGCTGTAAGAGGCTTTGAACGGCTGGATCTCGTAGCTTGTCCTCATATCCTTGGAGTAGTCCACTGCGGCATATCTGGGCAACCAAACCTCTAACGAACCCTCCAACACACAAAGTATCAGAGTCCTGGGCTTTGCAGAAATGAAAGGCCAAAGCCTGGCGATGTAAACCTCTCTGCAAGCTTGTAGGTGAACTTGGCCATAAGAGTTCAGTACACAGGGCTGTCTTGCCACTACCAGGCCCTCCTACCAACAACACACCCCAGGCAGCTGCCTTTCCTGAGACAGCACCAGCATTATTCCCAGAATTCATCACAAGGGACGGTGTGTTGACAGCACTATTGCAGCAGCTGGTTTTCTCCTGGAGGCAATGCTGAAGCTTGTGGAAAACCCACTCCCTACAGTAAAACTGCTTCCCTTGCAGTAAACTCGTTTGGGCCATTTTGCAGACTTTTTCTTCCCAAGGATTAGTCATAATAGGTTTTCTATCTTCAACACTGGCTAGGAGCTAGGTACACCAATATAGTCTTTATATCCATTTGGACATAACTTGCATTTGAATGACAAAAGTAACCAGTTACAGAAAAATTCAACAGTCACAATTTATCAATACAATGTGCATGACTATATTTGCTTCCATATTCTTGATTAGCAGAGAATATATTAATTGTTGAACAGATGCAAAAACAACTGGTTCCAAAGCTTGCCAATAGTTTTTGTATATCTTGATGGGTCATATAGCTCCATCGTTATGTCTGGAGTTTATGTGACTGTAGAGATTTCAAACATACAGATGAAATAATAAATCTGGAAAACTCAAAAAGAGAAAACTCAGTCTTTCAATACATAACAAATGCTTCTCCAGACTCCAAGTGTTAATTGTGTGTATGAAAATTAGATGTAGAAAAGCAGTCCATTATCTTAAATGTTATCAAAGAGATAACATTTATATAGTACATAGGTAGCTCTGTATTTCCTGTTGAAGGATGACCACTCCAAGTACTAGTTCTTGCCAGTTTTAGGCATCTGGGCAACTGCGAGGGAAGATTCAGATTATCTCTTATGTGGCAGAAATGACAAACCACTGTTTACACCTTCTTAATTCAAAGCATTCATAAAATGCATTTTTCAAGACAGCAGATTCTTAATAAACGGGTTCCTGGGTCTTAAGATGTCCAGGTAATCCACAATTTCCATAAGTAACTAAAACGAAACAAACAAAAATATCTTAGTGCAAAATACCATATATTAATAGCTTATTTACAATTCACCCATTAATCTCAAAAATCCATACACCTCATCTCTGGCACTTTCAAGAAGTTGGGACACTTACCCCTCAAAGATACTSGTTCTATTTCCCTTTTGCATTATTTTCTTCTCTGGTTGCAATTCCCAATCAGCCGATTTTAATAATTTAATATCGATTTTTGGAACCTTTTCACCCTAGAAAGGGAGAAAAAGAGACTTGCTGCACATGGAGTGACACCCTTCATTTTGGCCAGAAGGCTCTGAGGCTAGCTTGGTGGAACAGCCCCTCCAAGGAAGCGCTCTCAGCTCGCCCTGCAAGGCCATCAGGGGCTGTCTACTGGACTCTCCGCACTTCTTTGTTGGCAGTTTGCAAAATCGAGGAAAAGAACACCAGGGTTGCGGCGGGATGGGAACTGGTTCACAGAAAAGGGAAGGCGACGGTCCCTTCCACGAATGATAAATCAAACACTACAGCGTGACTCCTTCCCCGCGCTGCACCAAGGGCGACGCGCAGGACGGGGTCGGACGCCACCTCCCGCTCCGCGCAGCGGCGAACTCCTCCCGAGCACGGGCGCGGGGCAGCGGCGCCGGCGGGGCAGCCCGAGTCCAGCTCGGCCGGGAGACAAAAGGGTCCGGGTCCGGCGCCCGGGCCGCCGCGGCTGGCCGCCTGGCAGAGGCCGCGCCCCGCACCGCGGTCCCCCGGCCCGGCACGCCCGCCGCCGCCCGCCCCGCCCCTGGGGTGTGTCCGCGGGAGGGTGCGGGGTCCTCGGAGCCCCCGCGAGGGCCGCGGCCGGCGTCCAGCGCGGCGCCCCCAACCCTCCTGGCCCGCGGCGCCGGGCGCGCCGGAGCGGGGGTGGCGCGGCGGGGAGGCGGGTCTCCGCCAGCCCCGCCGCAGCCGCGCGCTGCCCACCGAGGGAGGGCCTCGCTCCCGTCGCCGCCGCCCCGGGGCACCGCGGCCCTGCCACCGCCGCCCCTCGGTACCTCGGGCCCCGCCGCCGCCTCAGGCACTGGCTGCGCGAGACGCCGCCACCAGCAGCGCTCCCGGATCCGGCTGCAGCCGCCTCCTCTGCCGGCCTGGGGTGCGCTCCCAGCTGCAGATCCGCCTCTTGGCTCCCGGCGACGGCCAGCTCCAGCTGCCCCAGCAGCCCGGGCCGTGCCGCTCCCCACCCCCACCGGCCAGCGGCCGCCACCGCCGCCGTCAGGGCAGTGACTGTCTCGGGCAGCCGGGACCCGCCGGCTCCGCCCCGCCGCCGAAGCTCCGCCCCCAGGCCCCGCCCCGCCCTTTCTTCGCCCGCCCAGGCCCCGCCCGCTCTCGAGGCCCCGCCCGCTCTCGAGGCCCCGCCTCCGCCGTCCGACCTGCCTCACCCGTCCGACCAGGCCACGCCCCCGGCGTCCGCCCTTCTTCACTCGCCGGCGAGCGCCCCGCCCCCGGCCCTGCTGGCTTCGCTCGCCCGGGCAGGTCCCGTGGGGCTGAGCAGGCCCCGCCCCTGAGGCCTGCCCCCGCTTCCCTGGTGGCCCGTGCTCCGGCGTGCGCGGCCCCTGGGGACCCGCTGCCGCTCGGCGGGGGCGCCTTTCGGGGCGGGCGTCGGGGCTCCGCCTTTCCACGGGGGGCGGAGGACAGGGCGGTGGTGCGTTCTCGCGACCTGAGCTCTCGGTAGTCGCCGCCTCCCTCGGCCGCGAGCCTGCCTTTGTCCTGCGGGCCGCGTCCCTCCCTCGCGGCGCGCCTCCGAGGCCACTGGGCTCGCAGCCCCGCGCGGGCCTGGTCGCCTTTCCGTCCACTGAATTGCGGGGATGCTTTCCCAGCCCAGAACTCCACGAGGGATGGGCAGAGGAGGGGACGCTGCCGGCCGCCGCCGCCCGCCCGTTGGGGACGCTCCGCTGCAGCGCTGCCAACCACCTCGCTGCATGCAGGAGGCGCAGGCTGTTGGCTCGCCCTGCGCCCTCCCGAGGACTAGATCCCGGGTTCCTGCTGGGAAAATAGGTGTGTTGTCAATCCACGGAGTGGGAAACTAGTGCAGTTATTATTCTTATTGTTTTTGCTAAAGTGAAAAGTTCTCCCAAAATATGTTTCCCAAAATACCAAGCCAATCTCCCTGGTTTTAGGAATTTCAAAGTGTAACAAGCATACATTAGTAGAAACACAACCAAGTAGACCTGCTTGTGCTTACTCTCCCATATTGCTTATTGATGGCATGAGGCTTGATTTTTAGCTTTAACTTATGTACCCTTAATTTGGTGGTTCTTTTTCCAGAACACAACCAAAATGACAGTAAAGTTTAATTTTTGCATAATTAGATGAAAGTTGATTTTTATGAAACTATGAATTATGATTTAAACAGCTTATTTGTTTTAATAGTTTTACTGGCACATTATAGTTGTACATAATGGGGGATTTGTTGTAACATATTCGTACATGAACACAATGTAACAATTTGGCCAGKAGCATTAACCAGTATTTGTCCTTTTTATCGCTTGCTCCCTCCCCCTGGTCCCTCCCCTCAACTGATCTTATCTCCATTAATAGATTTACATGAGATTCCCCCACACACACAGACACCTTTATTTCCTTTTTCCTCTCTAGCTTTCACATATCTGAGAAAACATACCACCTTTGACCKTCTGAGTTTGGCTTATTTCACTTAACCTAAGTTCTCAAGTTCCATTCATTTTCTTATACATGCCATAATTTCATTTTTCTTCCTGGCTGAATAAAGCTCCTTTGTGTATACATACCACATTTTCTTTATCCATTCATTCACTGATGGASGCCTTGGCTGGTTCCATGGTTTGGCAATTGTGAATTTAGCAGTTATAAAATGGGTATGCTTCTGTAGCTGTAGTATGACTAATTCTTAAGGATAAATACTATGCAGTGGTTTAGCTGGGTCATATGGTGGTTCCATGCCAAGTCTTTTGAGGAACCTCCATACTAGTTTTCCATACTGGTTGTAATAATTTACAATCCCATCAACAGTATAAAAGTGTTCCTTTTTCTCCACATCCTGTCCACCATTTATTATTGTTTTTAYTCTTAATGGCTGATGTTCTAACTGGAGTAAAGTGAAATTTCACTGTAGTTTTGCTTGCTTAAGCAGTTTTTAAAAATATATTATTTGTTCTAATTAGTTATACATGRTAGCAGGATGCATTTTGGCACCTCATATGTAAATGGAGCAGTTTTAATCATGACTTAGTTTGCCATGCAACACTGATTGACTCCAGTTTCACAGTTGTCACTTTATATATGTTTACTGAAAATTTTAAATGAGAAAYATGTATATCACATTTCATTTCCATTAAGCCACTTGCTAGTGTGATAATTAARATAGTTTCTACCTGACGGGGAAATTCCAGAAACTTGGTTTGGTGGGCCTTTCTAATAACTATTCCCCAGCATGAAATGCCGTTTATACTAACATCAGCTACATCTAAGCAGTTAATAATCTTCAGCCCATCTAGAATTTTAATTTTTTACTTTAAATAAATTTTATTTCAGGGCTGGGGTTGTGGCTCAGTGGTAGARCACTCACCTCGCATGTGTGAAGCCCTGGGTTCAATCCTTAGCACCACATAAAAATAAATAAATAAATAAAGGTATCCTGTCCATCTACAGCTAAAAAAATGTATATATCAAAAAATAGGGGCTGGGATTGTGGCTCAGCGGTAGAGTGCTCGCCTAGCACGGGCAGGACCTGGGTTCGATCCTCAGCACCACATAAAAATAAAGGCATTGTGTTGTGTCCACCTACACCTTAAAAGTAAATATTTAAAAAAAATAAAAATAAATAAATAAAGTTTATTTCACATACAAATAAAGTTTATTTCATTTTTTATTGCTTTTTGCTTTCCTCAATAGAAAAGCTTTAATAATAACAATTTTATAATACTTCTTTTTGTTAATTACCTGCATGTTAAAAATAGCATGAACAGAGTTCTTACTCCTGCTASTATTCACATTGTTTAATCAGTTTCTTAGCCATCATTTTCTCCAATAATAGGTACTGGCATTTTCTGAAAAATGCCTTTTTTTTTCATATGGCTTTCCTTATTTTTCWTTATAAGATTTCCTGAAATTATCTTCACAACTGCATAAATTTGAAGTTACTGACACCTTCAATTACTGCTTGTCTATAGAATCTTAAATCAAAAATCTCCTTGTTTGTAGGAAGGTATCTACTATGTTCAAAGCAAACTCTGCTTAATATATTCTCAATTCTGGTTTCTTTATACTAAGAAGAACAAAATGTTCAGCTTAAATCTTTCCCTAGAAATTGTCTTTTAAAAATCCACTTAGAGCTATACACGTCAACATATATTTTTAAAGAGGAAGCTCAACATATATTTTAAATTTGTTTGCTTTGATGATCTTAAGCAAATTTGTAGACTGCACAGATTGACGTCTCAATTTTAGCACATTTGTGTACAAAATACCGTTTGTTGTTGTTGTTGTTGTTGTTGAGGTGCTAGGGATGGAAGCTGTAGCCTCCTGTGTGCTAGTACTCGTCCTACACTAAGCCACATCCCCAGCCCCAAATACAGTTTTATCCAATTAGAAGCAGTAGCTCCATCAAAAGATTCTCCCCACAAGTTCAAGTATCCCAAAGCACAATTATACATTTCAAAATTAGGTCTTTTATAAAGTTTATGCTCTTTTCATAGAGTACATTGATTTTCTTTTTTCTTTTTTTTTTTGGCAGAGATAAATTTCAATTCATTTGTAAGCTCAGTTTTCAGTCATTATAAGACTTTAAAGCTGCTGAAGGTGAATAATCTGATTTTAGAGTGCCAATGATTTTGAATGAAATGCATGAAAATGTAGAGGTTTGTGTTAGTCCTCCAGTTTAACTAGTAGGTCCACAGGTTTACTCACTACAGAGTGCTTTCAGGAGCCTTCCCGGCAGGCTTTCCGACTGGGCCACAGTGTGGAGAACTCTGTTCACCGTACAAAAGCATTCAGCATACTTGCTTCCCGCTCCACGGTGGGCAAACCATCTCTATTTCACATGTTCCAGACAAACCTCACGAGATTTTCCACATGTACCAGTGGATCTCAGAGGTAGCAGCCCAGTAGGGCTCGTGTGTGGAAAGTGGCAGCAGCAGGCCACAGCACTCTCGGCACTAGGCTGACACACACAGTTCCAGCAGCGTCAGCAGCCTCCCAAGCTTCTCTGATTATGACCAGGCCCAGGACTGCTTGGAGGTGCAAATGTACCACCTCCCATATCAAGCCATATGTACTTACTTATTTTCAGATAGCACCCTGCACCGTTTTCTAGTTACTTTGAATCTGGAAAGGTTCAGGATAAAAGTTCTCACCGGCCATCTTCCATATTTCCCCACAAATTTAAATTCTATCCTATCACACACTATTAAACATGGCAGACGCTGGAACTAAGACAAGGAAGGTCTATCAAACTCATCCCAGATGATTTTAATGCTAATATTAATAAGAGCCTTATCTAGCCTTATCTTATGTTAGTTATGTTGATTGGTCTTGAGGGAGACCTAGACCATGCAAAAGATTTGATTGGCATGACAAGTGTATTGATAGGGATAGCCAGCTGTGTTGCTCTCTTAAATACTCTTTTAAAAGAACCCTTCTTTAAATTTCACATTTTAAAAAAATTAGGTGCCAGCTTTATTCAGTGCTGTTCTTGAAAGCATGTCTTAAAATAGTTTTTACTTATAAAATGTGAAAGAAAAAAACCTCTCCTTCAAAAATTTAAAGAACCTCCAAATATGATTCATTTTGCAGAATTACCAGCTAAGCAAGATGAAGACTTGCTAGCTATGATTATCAAGTAGCTGATTACAACGCTTTACCTGTGTTCCTTAGACCCCTAAGCTAGAGCAAAAACTCAGTCAAACCCCCAAATTACACCTAGAGTACACATGATAACATGAATTCACATTCTTGTCCATTCCTTGAATAGAGCAAGGGATTTTAAAAAGGAAATTAGAATCCTCTAATGTATGTCTATTCACTGGATTCTCAGAACTGATTTTCCCACCTCTTCTACTACAGGTTTCTGTGTAGCTTAAATGACCTCTTAATGCCAGCCGTCTCCCTCAGCCTGTCATCAGGCGCCCCATCCTGATAAATGTCACTCGTGAGTATGTGGGAGGGGCCCAGCCAGCCCACATCCCAGGGGGCAGTGGGTCCTGGGATGAGTACC